CCTATTAAGAACACTTACTTGAATGTAGCATTCTCCAGAGGCCACATGGTAGAGTGGAAAGAAAACTGAAATTAGATTTATAGATCCTGGGTTCAAATCCCAGCTTTTCTGCATACCATTTCCATGACCTTAGGGAATTCACTTCACCTATCTGACCAGTTTCTTCATTGTAAAATGAGGGTGTTGCCCTAGATTTCTTTGGAAATGTGCAGCCTATAGAAAAAAGACTTAGCAGGAACGTGATAGCTGTCTGTATTTGAAATGCTTCCAGGTGGAAAAAAGAATTAGACTTGGCCCCCTTAGATCCAAGGATAGGGATAAAGACAATGGGTGGATGTTACAAGGCTTGCTGCCTTCAAAGATAATGGGTTTCCCCTCACTGGCAGACTTTACAGAAAAGCAGGATGATTAAGTTTCAGAGGGGACTCATGGGGCACAGGTTAGACTAGGTAGCCTTTGCAGTCCCCTCCAACTCTGAGAATCTGTGATCCTTTCCTTTCTAGTTCTAAATCTTTTCTAAAACCCATGCTGGGTATCTTAAATGTCTTCCCTCACCCAGCCAGCTCTCTCCTATCACTTAGTCAGCTCCTCAAAGTCTGCTTCCTCTACAGAGCCTTCCTGAATGAATCAGAGGTGCTATTTATTCTCTTTCCCTGACTGGTTTGGACCTGGATTTCCTACATTCTCTGATTACCACAATTATGTGCTAACACTTGCCTTCAGCCACTAAAAAACACTTGATCAGTATGTTATATAAATATCTTGCTATCTTTTTATGTACAGTATTAATTTAATGCTTCTATTCTGCTTTGACCTTCACATGGATTTTCATCTATGTCTCCGGCTTAGATGGTATACTCTTAGAGGGTCCAAACTAATGCATTTCTTTTTAAATGGTGCTTAGCAACATGCCATGCATAATTAGGTGTTTAATAAAATTTTAATAACATATTTAAAAATACTAATATATTCCCCTAAGGAAGAGTATAAAAGAGTTGCATGGGCCTGGCAGGATACCCCACATTTATTACAACATTGCCCTCATTCAAACCCTACTTTCTTGCTAGAAATCCATTAGACGCTTACATTGAAAAAAAAAGAAGGGTGAGAAAGGATAGGAAACAGAGTATCAATAAAACCTGAAAGGCAGCATATATTGAGGAATACACAAGAAGACTCTCAATAAAATTTATTTATAAGATATCAAAGACCTCATCCGCTTCACCCCCTTTTGTCTCATAATCCTTTTCCAGTGTCCAACCTATTTTGGATCAATAAACAATATTCATCCTGTCGATTTTTCCTTAGAAATATCTTAGATGTTTATTCCTTTCTATTCTCACAGACATCATCTTGTTTTAGGCCCTCTTGATGTCATGCCTTAGCTATTGAAATAGCTTCCTATCTGGTCTCCTGGTCTCCATTCTCTTTTTCCAATTTATCTTATACACTACTGCCGAATCAATATTCTTTTTTTTTTTAATTTTTAGGCAATTGGGGTTAAGTGACTTGCCCAGGGTCACACAGCTAGTAAGTGTCAAGTGTTTGGTCTGAGGCTGGCTTTGAATCCAAATCAATATTCTTGAAACAAAATCTTGATGTTTATTTCTCCTGTTCAAAAGCCTCCATTGCCACCCTATTGTCCCTATTAGTGTTACAGAAACCTTTTCAATCTGGGAGCTTACTACCACATGACAATTTTTCATATTGGAAGTATCCTCCACCCTGCAGCTTCTCCTTCTGATTGGCTGGTTTCTCTCAGAACCTCCATTTTAAGGAAGATGCTCAGGTCTACAATGTGTTCCTTCCTCTCCAGGCTGCATACCTTACTCTCCAGACTTCCTCTACCACACCCCAAAGCTGGGTACCTTCCTTTCTCCCCTGCCACCCCATTTTCAGCTTCCTTTCATTTGTTGTCTTCTCCAACTAGAATGTATGCTACCTGAGAACAAGACGGACTTTATGTTGGAATTTTTATTCCAGTGCTTAGCACAATGCCTAGAACATAGTAAACAATTACTATATTCTGAATCCAGGGCTGGTGCTGTATCCACTGTGCCACCTAGTTGCCCCCTAGACCTGACACTTTGAATCAGCACTAGACACAGGTAGTAAAAAGAAGAGACAATCTTGGCCTGGAGACTGGCTGGCTGGCTACCTGCCCTTAGTTGGGTATAAGGGCCTCAGATATGGATGAAAAGAACTTAGGCTTCCCTTGTCAAGGACAGACTTCCCAGTTAGCACATCTTAGATAGGAAGAGAAAGACAGATGACGACTCCAAAGACCTGAAGCCTAAAAGAGGGTGTCAGAGAGGTCAGTGTTAGGACCTATTGAGACACCCAGAAAACAATTTATAAAGATCAAATAGTTAATACAGAGCAGAGAAATGGTGCTTATAGAAAGGACATACATCAACAGAGGATGTTGGCAGCCCTGCAGCATTATGTACGTCCTGCCCACACGTATGTCCTGGTGAAATGTCTCCTCCACATGGCAATGTAGGTTTCTGATATGTACTCCTTTATCTTTTACATAAAATATGGCACATATCTGCCATTCATATCTGTTTCTTGGCCACATGTTTTCCATGTACAAGTCTTTCCTCCACCTGTAGGAGAGATGCACCAGTGTGTGCATGAAGATCTTTTTTTTTTCTCTTTACTTTCTTGTTGGATTAAATGTACTGTTCTGAATTTTGTCCATTAGTAAAAGAGTATACATCAGTGGAGTTATGGCTCTGAGTAGATGCTGACCCACACTCAAACTGAGGGTAGCTTTTCTAGGGGTTCACACACAAAAGGGGGAGTCCCAGGAGCTACACTGCTTTGAAATTGTAATTTAAAGAATCTTAAATATTTACTTTAAGGAGCATTCTGGTGCTGTTAAGTTGTATTCCATATTTAATTCTTTCATATGAACCCCATAAGAAGATAATTAAATGAACAATTACTGCACATTGTCTGTACCAAAGTTAATTTCTAAGTCATTAAGAATTCTTACAAACTTTCTACAACTCAATATTTAAAGCAGGTAGACAAGGTGGACCATTTTTCTTAAGGAAATAATCGTTTAGGTATTTATAAGTGTGAGAAGGTCTGATTTATACTGAGGTGTTATTTTTCCTTTAAATAAAATTCTAGCCCTTCCTCTGCTATCAGTAAGTCCTAAAATAACCCTCCTTTGACTGTGCTACCCTATGGCATTACTATTCTTTCTTTCTCTTTCCCTTTGCTGACTTAACTTTACTATCTACCATTTTTTGGATCAGAACTCTGATTTCATTGGTATAGGGAAGATTGTTTATGGCACTAGAGGTTAAATATAAGTGGGGCTTCAACTTATGTCATTTTGACTCCAAAGGTCACTCTATTCCATTTACTCCTTAATATTAAGCCCTTGAAGGCTAGTTTCTACCCTATCATTTTAAACTACTCATGAACGTTAGTAATCACCAAATCAAAGAATCTCAGTATCAGCAGGTAATTTGGTCCAAATCCTATGCCAAAAATGAATTTTCTCCACAATACTCCCAACAATGGTCATCAGCACCCTGCTTAAACACCTCTAATAGTGGCCTAAATAATTTAACACTGTAATAATTTAGCCCTTCTCAAAGCAGCCTATTTTGCTTTTAGATAGTTGTAGAAGAAGATTTTCCCTTCAATAGCTCAAATTTCCCAAACTCTTACCCATTGATCCTAGTCTTAACCTCTAAGGACAAGTAGCCTAACTCTAATCATTCTTTCTCATGACAGCCTTTTAAGTATTTCAAGATAGCATGCATCTTCTTTGCCCTCCTCTGGATATGTTCAGCTTACCAATGTTTCTTCTAAGATGTAGTGCCTGGAACCGCAAGCGATATTCCAGACATGGTCTGACAAAGGTAGAAGTACAGCAGGTCCATCATCTCTCTCCTTCTGGACACTACACTTCCCTGATTTGGGTCTAATAAATGATCAAGAACTGGAAGAAAACTTAGTGATTATTCCAGTCAAACTTGCTCATCTGAGAGGTGAAGAAATTAAGGCAAATGGAAGTTAACTTGCTTATCCAAGATTGCATAGGTTGAAAGTAGCAGAATTTTTATCAAACCAGGCACTTTGACCTTTAATCAAGTATTCCCCCCCCACACACACATCTTAACATTAGATGATTTTTGGAAGCCACACTTGACTCTACTTATTTTATCTCCCCTAATGGACTGTTAAGTTTCTGGAGAAAAGGAATTGTGTTTTACTCATTTACTCATTTGTAACATCTAATTAATAAATGTTTATTTAATGTAGAGTTAATCCTGATGACTAATGGATAACCACCTTTATGCTGCTCCAATGAACATCCATCACCCTCCTATTTCTCTACCATACTACTCCCCACTGCCTGACCAAGACTACTGAAAAACTGCTAAAAAGTCAAATGCCAAGCATACAAATTGGATTACTTCCTTTGCTTTTTAAGATTCCTAAAGTCATGTACATGGGGAATATCCTTACAGCATCCTTTTAAAAAGCATGCTTTTAAAAAATAATCTAACTACAAAGACATGCTGGTAAATACAAGTCAGTGTACTGAATACTTTTCTCAGTACTTATTTATATACTTCTCGTTCCTCATAATAATAATAATTTAAAAAAATAATGTATTATTAAACTTTTATTCCAATACTGTAATGCAGTAGGTGGTATTATAATTAACATCATGCAAATGGCACAGCTCAAAACTGATGCCTGGAAGAAAAAGACCAGGAAGTATTCTGGTCAAAAGGAGTTTCATGAGTTGTAAAGAATAAAAATGATATAACCTGGTTCCATTGCATAGACATATATTAGTCACTATGTCAGACAGAGATCTGATAAGTTACAGGAAAGCTAAACGCAGACTGAATAGGTACCGTTTCTTTTTTGTACCAGATACCCTGATCCAAGTCTAGTGTCTTGTCAGTGAGATGAAGCAATAGTTACAAACAGAAAAAAATATTAGACCCTAAAGACTACAGCTCTACTTTCTTTTATTAGAAAGATCATCACACATTTTTCATTGTTTAAAGAAAATTATTGTTTAATAACAACTTTTCATTTTATACAAAAACATTGCCATTCTTCTCATGGCTAGAGGCTTACAGGCCTATTTGCTGGGATGACATTTTTAACTTGAAGCAGTAGAATTCATTACACTGAAATCCCATTATGACAAAATAATGTGTACCCACCATTAAAGCTCACAGTAATGACACTGGCTTGTTGAATTAGAGTTGAAATAATGAATGGGTATAAATTTTCTCCATTAAGAGCAGCTGTAGAGAAACATGGGGACAAGAAAGCAGGAGACATTTTGGGAGTTCATAGAAGTCACATTTTGGCCATATTTTTCCTGTTCATAGACGTCAACCTTAGATTGTTCACCTTGCTTCACTCTGAAGAGAACTGAAACTCCCTAACAAATGTTTTAATAGCAAGAAGTGTCACATGCAATCCTATGTTACATGGCAGGAACCAGGAGCTAGGAGTAGGATATCCCAACAAAGCTTCCCTGAAAAGCCTACAATACTTCATTCTGAAAGCTGATGGCTTTCAGGACTGAATGTATATTGCAAAACTATTTTTGTACTCATCAATAAATTTCACATGCTAGGAGGAAAGTCTCTTTTCTCCGTAAGCATACATCATTTGCAGATGTTTGTTGATTCCGTAATTTTAAGTTTTCTCCAAAAAAAGTTAGATAACATAAGTATTAAAATTAGGTTATTTTTAAAATCTTTTTTTAAATTTCTCAAATGAAAAGCTAGTAAAATAAATTTACTCTATAGTGCTTCATAATGAAGGGATTCTTATTCACTAGAGGTGCTAGGTTATTTTAGTATGAAGCTCAAACTGAATATTTTCTTTAGCAATAACAAATATACTACATACCAGGAACAGAAATACTTTAGTAAAATTAAAAGAAAACTCCTTTCAATTTCTTCATTTCAACATTTGGATTTAGGGGAAAGAGACAAAAACAAGAAAATCAAAGCAGCACTGAGCTTTGGCATAAGAACGAGCAAGAGGCATTTGCCACCTGGCTAATCATTTCACATAAGGTATAATGAAATACAAAAATGAACACATTTGAAATTACAAATATAATAATCAAAGGCGAAAGAAACACATTTCTCAGTTAATGTCTTATTTTAGGCTAGAGAGAGTCTCTGAATTGCTAAATCTAGAAAAACCAGTACCTCAGGATTTCACATAGGCATGAATTGTACTGATTTTCAACAAGGTATGAAGGTATGTTACTCCCAAGATGGTCACAGGTTTTTTATATTACTTAGGGTCCAGGGGTGGGGAACCCCTGACCTAGGCTAATTGAACCCTTCTGCTACACTAATTATATAGGAATGTTAGAAGTGGAAGGAATCTTCTAGGAGCAAACATAAGGCATCTTATATTGTCTATGGATAAGGAATAGTGATGCATGACGCAATTTAAGCAGTTACAATGTTTATGTTCAATAATCCTAGGTCTGCCAATGCTCCAGCTATCTATGTTACTATTCTTAGCACCTCATCAATAGTCTCAAGTCTACATGGCTTTTGAATTTGTATAACTCCTCCTCCAATCAGTTAAATCTACCCCCCTCCCCTATTTTTTTTTTTAAAGAACCATGGCTTAGCTTGTACAGGCCACCATTTTTAAAATTTGTCTTGGAGTTATCTGGAAGAAGCATATCATACTGAGAAGTAGAAGTGGCTGAAGATGAGTGTGGAAAAGATGCAGCAAGCACACCTCTGTGATTGCCTTCTGGTACGTGAAGCACTAGGGTCTTTCCAAGAGTAATACAATCCAAATCTCTCAGAATCCAGTTCTTAGGTGCTGATTTCAGGAGTGCTGTTTGGGTTGTTCCTCATCAATTTTTGAAACATGACTGTTATTAAATTACTCCATGCTTACCAAAGAGCCTGGAGTTCAAGAAGGCTCCCTTAACATGCCCAAGATTGGTGCTACAGAGAGGAAAAACAAAATCATTTAATCCTTGTTATGCCAGTCGTCTATCACACACACACACACACACACACACACACACACACACACCCCTTGAAATTCACAGAAAGCAAAGTATATATCATTTAAAAAATGTATTATTTAGGGACATTAAAGATAAATACTAAAATACAATTCAGGAGAAACAATTATTTTGATGCATTCTTAGAAAAATGCCTATGAAAACAAAGAATTTACAGTTTACCAATGAAAGGAGAAATAATAAATGGTTCATACTGCAAAAACTAAGGTATGCTTAGTGTGTTTTTCCCCAGAATTATATTTAACTACTTTTTTTTCACAGCTTAATTTTTTAAACTACATTTCATAAGATTATTCAAGAAGTATATCTCACTTCTCATTTTACAAATGGGGAGACTGAAGCTAAGAAAGGCAAAAGGATTTTCTGAAGGTCACAGGTTTGGGAAACAACAGGGCTATTTTTTGAGCCAAGTCCTCTGACTACAATCCCAGTAATTTTTCTACTCTAATACGTTGTCTTCTATACTGATATTCACTAATCATAGTTTATTTATTAGCAATTCTTTGCATTCTAAACACCATTTAGCAACATCATTGATCCAATATGTTATTGCCTATTTTGCAAGGACTTCCCAATTGTTTTCTTAAGCTTTTTCTCTTATTCTCTTGCGAAAAAAATCAGCATTTTCTCAATTCTACATACATTTAAATTAAGCAATATCTTGGTTAAATTAGAGTGATGAGATTTCTTTATTTGTGTAGGATAGCCAGGTTTGAGTCTACTTCAAACACTAGAGCAGTTACCCTGAGAAATGTTCTCCTTCTATCAGATAACGGGTTAGTAATTTGATGACTGTGTAGAGTCTGTGCAGCCCCTAGAGGATTAGAAATCATTGTGATATGCTGGAAAGGAAACTGAAGTAGAGTCAGAAGATCTAAGTTTGTATCAAGTCCTGCCAGTTTTAATTGTATAAATGTGAGTGAGTTAATTAACCTCTCTGAGCCTCAGTTTTCTACTTTGATGAGACTGGAAAAAAATAATCTGTAAGGTCCCTTTTTCAGCCCTAGAATTTGATTGGTCCTGTTCAGAGAATGGAAACCCAAATTTAGCTAAAATGTGGTGGAAGTGCTACTGGTAGATAAATGAAAAGAGCAGCATTAGACAAGTCTGCCAATGAAAGGGAAATGTAGCACCATTGTATACATGTGGTGATGAAACAGGGGTCCTCTGGAGAGAATATAGAGGTGACTCAAGAAAAAACTTATTCTAGATTGGGTCTCTTCTCATCCAATCACAAAAACCAAATGGCAAGTTCAAGCTCATATGGCACAGCCATATTTAGATTCACTACTCTTGAATTTCAAAAGTCCATTGCTTAATTAGTCCATGTTGCCTATTTATTTTAATATGAAGACCATGTCCCTTGATTTCATATCATCTGACAGATTCTAGTCTAGAAGGAACAAGAGAAGTCATGTAGCATAATCCCCCCATTTTACAGAACTGAGGCTGGGTATTAAGTAAATTTAGAAGGCAGCCCATCCATTGTTCCACAGTGCATCTTTTGAGATAATTGAAAACGTAAAGCAAAATCATGATGTAGTGGAAAGAGCATCAAACTTATAACAAAACCATTTAGTTTTGAGTTCTGGCTCTGAAACAAGCTATGTGACCAAAAGCCAGTCTCAACTTCTCTGAACCTGTTTCTTCACATTTACTTCAAGATTTCCATCATGTAACTGTTTTAAGTCAGGCTCCACATCATACAGTTCAATCAAGGTAAGCATGTTATGAGACATAAAGTACTATATATGTAATCTTTCATTATGTCAAATCTACTGGCAAGCTAGGGAGAATCAGGTCTGGTTTATTTCTCTAATTAATAATGAAGTCACAACCAAAAAACTTACCAGGCATTTGTGATGTTGTGAATGGTTCTGACCCAAAGCAGAGCTGTAGTAGTGAGAAGGAAATCTTGAGACTTTTGGCAAAACAGATGAAAAATTAATTGAAAAACTCTGATTTGTTAAGGCAGCGGCTTCATAAGAAGGAACAACTTTGGCATAATATCTGACAGACTGATCAGGATGTAAAGAATTAAGAGAAAGCATTTCAGTGGGAATAATCTTATACATATCACCAGCAGCATTTTGTGAGGTGGAGCTAGAATGACCTTTAATAGAAAAGAAAAAAAATAACTCGTTAATGTAAACAACTAAAACTCTAACCTTTTCTATTAAAAAAAATTATGGTTCATTTTCTTTATATTATGCCTCACATTTTTCCCATTGGTACATTTAAATACCAATGCTACTCAAAAGGAATAAAGGGCATTAGAGAGATCTCTCTGCCTCTCTAGAAATCTTATGAACCTTAGGAGGGAAGCCTTCATTGGAATAAAGATTAAAGAAAGGAAAAAAATGCTATGGTAGGGGGAGTATACTACAGACATCCATGTGAGCAATGGGAAGTAGATGATAAGCTCATGACACAGTTCACAGAACTGCCATGGAGGCAGGATATAGTTGTGATGGGAGGCTTTGACTCTCTGGACATCTTCTTAAAAATTCTTTAACTTGTTTTGCTGATGGGTTCATATTTCAGAAATTAGAGGAAGTCATTCTATTATTGCTATTGTATAACTTGATTCTAATCAGTTAAATGGGGCTTCAGAATGAAGGGCAAATGATCAGAACCTTGGGAAGCAATGACTATACAATACTCAACTTTGACAGATAAGAAGGGAAATGCTGGTAGAGTCAGAAGTTGTACCTTTGACTTTAGAAGAGGAGATTTTTTTCAGATTTCAGTGACATAATAGGTAGGGTAAAAGTTACCTCAAGAATGGTGGGAGGCTCTCAAGAATGAAATTATTGCAACACCATTACAATTTACTTTGATGATGGTGAAAAAGTGGGGGTGTTTAAAAAGATGTAAAGGAATGGACCTTCACCTGAAGAGGTTTCTAATGGAATAACTAAAAGCTCTGTTGTATTAACATTTTTAATCAATGATTTTTACAAAGGAATAAATGGTATAGAGGGGAGGCACAATGGTGTAGTGGAAAGAGCACTAGCTCTAGAGTCAGAATACCTGGATTTGAATCCTACATCTGACACTTATTATATGTTTGACTTCGGACAAGCCATTTAACCCTCTCTAGGCTTTAGCTTGCTTGTTTATAAAAACAGGGAGTTGTGCTAGATGGTTTATATATCCCCTAAATCTATCATTTAACTGTAAGCTTTGCTGAAGCTGGGGGCAGCTAACATTGTATAATAGAGTCAGAACACAAAAAGATCTGGAGCTGTTCCAACAAAGTCTAATGGGTAAACATTATAAGGCATCAGGAAAAGCTTCCAATTAGTGTTATACAAAAATGGAATGGGCTGCATCAATGGAATAGTGAATTTTCTCTAATTTTAGGTATTCAGAGACCAGAAGACCATTTATTTTTAATAACTGAGCAAGCATTTATGAAGCATTTCACTATGTGCTAGACACTTAAGTAAAAAGAATCAAAAGGTCCCTCAAAGTTCTTCAAGGAGCTTACATTTTAATGGGCAAGACAACACATAAAAGACACAGGCAAAAACAATATAAAGTATTACAAGGGCTAGCTTTACATGGAATGTGGTGCTTGCACTGAGTTTTGAAGAAAAAAAGGGATTTTGAGTAATAGAAGTGAGGAAGAAGTACATTCTAGATATAAGATATGGTAATAGGAAATGGAATGTCATGAGGAACAGCAAGAGGTCCAGATTGACTGGCCTATAAAATACTGGAAGGGAAGTAGAAGCTGTATAGTTAGTTAGTTAGTTAGTTTTGTCCTTCTTTTTCGAAGAGGACCGAAATGACATCACTATGCTAGAGCCAAGTCTTAGTGTGTCTGACTGTGGCTGATCAGACCAATACAAGCTCAGAATGCTCTGCCACAGGTCAGAAACAAATAGTCTGTGTAAACCTTTGGGGGATTCTCTAAGTTTGTGTATCTTGTGTGTCTCTTGAGCTACTTCAATTCTGCTTTGCTCATAGAGCACAGCACCTTCTCTGATGTGGGCATGCCATGCTGTGTGGTCCTGTGCCAGTGTCTCCCATGTCACACAATCAATTCCAAAGTTCTTGAGACCTCGAGAGTGTCCTTGTATGGCTTCTTCTGACCACCATGTGAACGCTTGCCCTGTGTGAGTTCTTCATAAAATAGCCTTTCTGGCAAGCATATGTTTTGCATTTGAACAACATGGCCAGCCCATTAGAGTTGAGCTCTCTGAAGCAGAGTTTCAATGCTTGGCAGTTTAGTTCGAGAAAGGACTTCAGTGTCTAGTATCTTATCCTGCCAGGTGATCTTCAGAATCTTCCTAAGACAATTCAAATGGAAGTGATTAAATTTCCTCGCATGGCGCTGGTAATCCTGTCCAGGTTTCACAGGCATACAACAATGAGATATAGGTTTCAGAGAGGTAGTGAAGGGCTTCAAGAGCCAAAGAGTTCATATTCAATTTTAGTGAGCAAGAATTGTTTCATTTTTTGTATTTGTGTTGCTAGTGTCTAGCATAGTGCCTAACACATAGCCGCTGGATAATAAATGCTTGTTGACTGAATCTAAAGGCAAAAGGAAGCCCACTTAAGTTTATTGACTAGAGGAATGACATGCTCATGCATAAGCTGCTGGAAAATAATTTTGGCAATTATTATGGAGGCTGAATTGTAGTGGGGAGAGATTTCAGGTAGGGAGACGAATGAGGTTATTGCAATAGCCTAAATAAGAAGTGCTAAGGGCCAGAACTAGGATGGTAGCCAAGGGAGTAGAGAGAAAGAAACAGAAGGGGGAAAAGATGTGGAGGTAGAAATGCCAAGATTTAGCAACTAGTTGGATTTGTGGAGGGAGAGATGATAAAGGGTTGTGGATAATACCATGGTTACAGTCCTTAGTGACTAGAAGAATGGTTTGTCCTCAGCAGAAACAGGGAAGTTCAGAAGATGATGAGTTCTATTTCAGACATAGTACATTTGCATTGTATATTAAATATTCAATTAGAAGTATCTAATAGGAAGGTGGAAATGCATAATAGCAGCTCTGGCAAGAGACTGGAGCTAGATATATAGACTTGAGAATTATTTGCAGAGAGGTCATAATTAAAAACATACAAGCTGATGAAATCACTAAGTGTATATATGTGTGTGTGTGTGTGTGTGTGTGTGTGTGTGTGTGTGTGTGTGGAGAGACAGAGAGAGAGAAGAGACTTGGAGTACATCTACAATTAGGAGGTATATGAATGATGAACCGGAAAAGGAAACAAAGAAGGAAGGATCAGGGAAGTAGGAGGAGAAAAAAATCAAAAATAGTGTTTATGCAAATCCAGAGAAGAAAGCATATACAGGATGAGAGGTAGTCAATGTATCCAGTGCTACAGAGTAGTTGAGAAAGATAAGAATGGAGAAAAGGTCATCAGATTTGCAATTAATAAACCATTAGGAACCCTGGCAGAGAGCAGTTTCGAAGAACATTGAAGTCTGAAGGGACCACAGAGATCATCTAAATCCAGCTCTTTATTTTATAACTGATCAAACTGAAGCTTCAAGAGGAGAAGTGACTTGGCTAGAGTTTTACCTGATATTATAAGATCAAGATTGTAGAGAGATCATCTTGTTCGATACCCTCATTTTTCAGATAATGAATAAAAGGCCGAGCAATGATGAGTCACATAATAGTAATAAAGTTAAATTTAGAACCCAAGTCTTTTGACTTCAAATCCAATACTCTTTTCACTATCAATCTTTCAGGGATACTATGGTTTGACTTCATATTTGGAGCATTGATTTGACTAGAAAGCCTTTGAGGCTCTATCAAACTCAATGATTCTGAGCAAAATATACACCATTAAGGAACTCCACTTACTAGCTATGCGATCTAAGTGAAAGCACTTGACCTCTTGGAATACCATTTTTAGCTCTGTAAAAACAGGGCAGATATTTACACTGACTTTTGTAGGGCTTCTATAAGGATCAAGTGACAATGAATCTGTGTTTATTTAACATCAATGTGCCTGAAAGTTAAACCTGAGATGACATTAATAGGAGAAATGAAGAGAAGGGATTGATCCTCTGCATCTTTGGACCTTTATACATTCTCAAAAGTAGAGAAAATAAAGGCTGGGGATAATCTAGAATCTCAGGCATCATCTACTTAAACATGTACCTGAGTAGGAATTCCCTCTACAAGATCCCTGGCAAGTGGTCACAGTCTCTGATAAAAAAACTTCCAGTAATGAGTAAACCACCACCTGTTGAAGCAGACCTTGCCACTTTTGGCCAGGTCAGATTGTGTGGAAGTTTTCCTTTACATCAAGCCTTAATCTGCCTTTTTGCAAATTCCAGCCATTGCCTATAGTCCTGCTCCCTTGGGTCATGTAGGACAAGTTCAATTATTCTTCCTCATGACACCCCTGTAAACAGTTCAAGACAGTTATCATTTCTCCCCGAAGCCTTCTCTATACTAAATCTGTTCCTTCAACTTAATTCTCCTTTCACATAGTTTTCAGTTCCTACACCACCCTAGTTACCCTCCTCTAAATGAGTGCTGGCTTGATAATGTCCTTCACAAAATGTGGCACCTAAAACTGAACATGCTATTCCCCATGTCATCTGACCAAGATAAAGTCTAGCTGGACTATCACCCCTTTTACACTGGAAACTATTCTTATCAGTACAGCCTAAGATGGAATTTACTCTTTTAGAATCTACTGATTGATAACATTTGTATCAAATCTTTCAGATCTTTTTTCCATCTTGATTGCTGTCTGGCTGTGTAAGTCCATCCTGGACTTTCACAGTGGACTCTCTGAACTCAACTATAGGACTTTTGTGCTTATCTCCGTAACATTTCATTTGATTAGATTTGACTCGTTTTAGCCTGTCAAAGTCTTTTTTGTGTCATTATCTCACCTGAGTCATTGATAAAAAATGTTGAAAACTGAGCCCTGGTCAGATTCTTTGGGACATTCTACAAGAGTTTTCCCTCCATTGCCAAGCTGACACCAGCACTACCCCTTGGCTCAAGTCTTTGAACACCAATTTCAAAACTACACTCATTGCTCTATCTTTTCCAAAAAGATAGGAAAAATTTTGTGAAATGTTTTGCTAAAATATGTGTATGATAAATCTATGGAATTA